GCAGCAGCTCTCTGGGCAGTCGTCCACCTGCCAGGAGGAGCCGGTGCAGGAGTCACAGGGACCGGCCAGGCAGACCCGGCTGCCGTAGCTCAGGTCGCCGGAGCAGGTGGACAGGGCGGGCGCGGCCATGGCGGGGGCGGTGGGGCTGGAGGAGGGTGAGTGTGTGGGTGAGTGTGTGTGGGTGTGAGTGTGGGTGAGGTGCTCAGGCTTTGGGCTTTTATTCCCTCCCGGGTGAGCGTGTTTTCCCCGGGAAGCCTCGCCCCTGTCTTCCTGGCTGATGTCGAGAGCAGGTGCAGAGAACAAGCAGGAACTGTTTTCGTTCCAGGAGTTGCTCAGCTCCCAAAGCTCCTAAAATTGGCTTGGGGCGGCTTCACTTGTTTTCAGTCCTGAAAGCAAGCCTGGAGCGGAGTGTCAGTTACCGTGTTGTTTTAGCCCGTGTCACGGGGCCGAGGCGGAGCGCACAACCGGGGCTGGATCCCGGCCCCAGGTCGGGGTGAGCGCGGCCGGGGGTGCCCCGGCAGCACAAGGTCGCGTGCCTCTGTGGCAGAGTGGAGGTTTATTTGGTTGTAAAGAAAGATGAGCTGAGTCACGCTCTGGACGCGGAGCTGGATCAGCGTCCCAGGGCAGCAGGCACCGCGCCGCAGGGGACCAGCTCCCACAGCAGAAACGTGTCTCTCCCAGTCTGGAGGTCAGACGCCCAAGGGCAAGGTGTGGGCCGGCTGGTTCCTCCTGGCTGAGGGAGGCGTTGCAGACTGTCCTGCAGCTCCTGTGGCTCTGCTGGCAACCTTTCATTTCCCTGGCCTTTAGATGCATCACCCTAGTCTCTGCCTTCGCCTTCACAGGGTGTTGTTCTCCGTGTGTGTGTGTGTATCTGTCCAATGTCCCCTTTTTATATGCACACCAGTCAGCATGGATTAGGGACCACCCCAGTGACCTCATTTTACCTTGGCTACATCTGCAAAGACAGTATTTCCAAGTGAGGCTAAACGCACAGGTACTGGGGGTTGGAGCTGAAGTAGCCTTTGGGGACATGATTCATCCCCTAACCTGTGCTGCCCTTGCTCTGAGGCTGACACGGGGACGGAACCTGGGATGGAAGGAGAGTTGAGCAGGTGTCCCTTCTCCTTTCTCTGGGACAGCGGTGAAGGGCAGGGTGCGGGAAGCAAGTGCCCTGACAGGTTTGGAGCAGACACGTGACTTTCGCGGGTCCAGAACGGCTTGAGCTCGTGGGATGATTTTTTTGTTTGTTTCTTTTATGGAATAATTATACAAAGGGCACAGAGAAATCACGTGTGCCCCGGCCCCAGCCTTGTCCAGCGTTAGCATCTCCCGTGACCCAGATCGACGACCAGGTCTTAGAAATCAGCGTCGGGGTGTTGCTGCTCACTAAGGACAGGCTGCTGCCCGCTTCACCGCTTCCCCCGCGTGTCCACCCTCTGTTCCGCCAGGGACACCCGTCAGACCCCCCCATCAGCTCTGGTCTGGGACAGCTGCTCACAGCTTCCGGGGCTTCTGTGGCCGGGACGCTTCTGCAGGGCGCTGACGCGGTGTGTTGCACACCGCCTCTCCGCCTGGGTTTGCCTGACGTTTCTCACGATGGGACTCGGGCCGTTCGTACCCGGGGGAAGAACCCACAAGTACTGCGCCCGGTGACGCAGGGGTCCACGGTGCTGACCTGTCTTGTCGCTGAGGATGTGACGATTTCTCCGCCAAATTAATAAGTTTTGGGGGATTCTCTGAGACTTTGCAAGTATCCTGGTTCTGCTGGAACGCTTGCCCTGAGGTGTCAGGCCCCTCGGGGGCGGTGCCTCCAGCAGTGGCGGCTGGCGTGCGGGTGGCGCGTCTCTGCGCCACGTTCCACCTCCGCTTGTTAGTTACGGTTCTTCTCTGAGGAAGAGCTGCCCCTCCTCCTCTACTTACTTGTTTGCTCTGCTGTTTGTTTCAACGTGGACTAAAGCATATTTATTTCATTGCGTTCTACTGCAGTGTTATCATTATTTATTTTCTTGTTCAAATTGTTCCAGCTTTGGGACGATGACCCACCTTTGACATCTAGGCCGTTTGGCTCTTGGACCCGTCC